TGAATGCAAATAGTAAAAAAATTATTATTCTATCTTACTGTGAGTTTGCGCTAAGCCCAAACTAAAATTATGCTAATTTCAACAAAATAGTAAATAGTATACTGAAAACTACCTGCTAATAGTCGCATATAAAAGTATAAGATTAAAGAGTGAAGAACAAAAGTAGAATTTTTTGTCGTATTTATTAGAGGAATTTGTAATAATAATTATTGTTTTTAGAAACGTTTTTATTATTTTATTCAATTCATTAATTGAAATGTTTTCAGAAGTAATATGAAAAGTTGTTTGCATGTGGCGATTTCTTCTAAGTGATTAGTTTTTTTGATTTTTGTTGAAAATAAAGTTGTTGCACAGATTTTTATATTAAAATACATATGCACATTTTATTCAGATTTAGCTTTTAATTTTTTACAGTTGTAAACTACTACCTCACAAAATCTGCAAAATTCTTGAACTATCGTAAATAATATAAATTTAAGTACTAATATTAAATAAGTTTTTGAGTAATTCGATTCTGGCGACTATTATAAAAAAATGAAGCTACGAGTCACATGGATAATCATCGCACTACTAATAACTATCGTTTTATCGAACATTATTGCTATTTATAATATCGTGAAATTATTCATATATAAACAAGTTTGTATATTTTGACTTTTATTATTAGCAAAGTGTAATATTTAACTGTTCAAATAACTTAAAACATGATGTGATTATTCAGATCGATATCATCGTAATTTTAGTTCATATGAGCATTAACTTTCGATAAGTTAACTTTATTCATTATAATTAAAATAAGAGAACTTTTTTGACCATTCTGAATCTGTTAGGTCATTTAACAACTGAAAAGAAATTGAAATAATTTGAATTCATAAACCGGATATTATTCATCTGATCTTATAATAAATTTTAATGCCAAATGTCAAATTATCATTACAACAACTATAAATACAACATAATCATAAATCTGTCCTATTTTCATTACTTCAATTACTAATATTCAGAATAGCAGAAAATCAGATGAGATCTCAATCACACCGAAAGAAATTGCCAACTTTGAAATCTCCTCGAAAATATTCGGTCTGCGATTTTTCAATATTATTCAGTTTATAATTTTAAATAATTTTGATGACTAGAAAGTTCAAATGTGAATTTTCTATTCTAACTTCGCGCGAATAATTTTCCTACTCACATATTTTTGAACAAGTTTTGTATTTTGTTTTGTAAATATTAATCCTTTTTATCATATTCCTTTATTTGTTGTTTTTATGTTGAAGTAGAAAGTTCAAAGAAAGGTATCCTTCTACAGTTAAGCCTTCTTGCATTCAAACAACCCAATTCTTATGACTATTTTATTCAATTAAAAATTATTCAATGCCATTCACCTATGGTAATCTCTATGGATTATCTGATTCATGCAAAGTTAAATGTATCGATTTTAGTGGCAACAAAAAATTCCAATTCACTGTCTCTGAAGACTTCTACGGATATGAATTCACTGGCAACAGTAAAATATGGACTCCGGTATAAATTTGACAAAAATCTTGGAAAGGATGTAGAAATCAAAGAACCTAAACAAACCAGGACACAAGTTCAAAGCTCACATGATTCAATTACTGTTCCTACAGTTAATCACCAGATTCTGGTAGGGATGAAGTACAGTATGAATGATTTTACGGTTTTAAAAAACAAGAAGTTATTACATCACAACTTTTTAGTAGCAAAATTATTTGATCATTTGAGAAGGATTTGAAAATAAAAAAATAGGCATTTATATAAATTGCAAAAAATATTTGACTTCATTTTTTCAGAAAAATTTAGATGGCAAAAATGAACCTTACACTGTTTTTGATGAAGTAGTTGCATCTGCAGAAGACACATTCAAACAGACTGAGCGAAAAAAAATGAGTGGAATTCATTCAGATACTGATATCTCAGAAGTCGAATTAGCTGATGAAAACAGTACAATACTATTAAAAGAACATACTCTTGACTCTCGAACTTCCTTTCATTTTCGACCTATTACCGAAGTAACATCGTCATTATCCTCATCATCATTATCTTCATCATCATTATCATCATCGTCATTATCATCATCATCATTATCATCATCATTATTATCATCATCATCATTAAAAACAGGTACCGTCCCACCAGTTCAAATATATACTTCTAAAACTGTTAATAAGTGAAAATAAAAACTCACTGAATTTCCATAACCATCCAGAATTTTTTCGTTTTCTAGAAATAGCAGGAACTATCGAACCCGTTAGCCATACTAAAAATCCATCTCACAGGTAATTTTTCAACCTCATTTACTGATAAACTTCTTATCGAAATCAAATTTACTCTTTAAAGTGACTTTGATTATTAATGTTATAGAAAAATGCCTCTTACTCTTCTTGAAGAAAATATGTGAAAAAAGTTATCATGTTATTTCAAAAATAGTTCTGCAGTTCAAGTATTTTAGGATCATATCTGGATTCACTTTGGTGACAGCCTTACTGGACATCGGAAGAGGTGACTGGTGGGAGTATCGGCGTCCACTAGAAAAGTATTATACCTATTTGGAAAACATCTTGAGGCTAAAGGTTAACTTAGTAATCTTCGTGAACCAAAAAAGTGTGGAGCATGTTTCTGCCAGAAGAAAATTCTATGGCTTAGAACGCTTAACTAAGGTTATTACTAATTAAATATATTTTAGGTATTTCAAAAAAAAAATAAGCAAATCAAAATAACAACTTATTATGGCTAAAAATTCATTGATTACTGTTCGTTTGGAGCTACTTTTTCCTAAGCAAAATATATTTTCTTATCAAATTTTCGATTATTGCTTCTAGAGTTTGAAAAAACATAATTCTTACTGATAAAAACTTAACTACTTAGTTTTGCTTTCAAGAATTATTAATTATTAAAATTTGCTAATTACGCTATTCAGTTGCTTGAATTCTTTTATTATTAAGTTGAATATTTAATCACGGATTCCCACCATTTGTTCTGATTTATCAAATTTCTAAACTTTCACAGGAATATCAATTTAATCATACCACTTTTTCCGCGTAAAATACGGTTCATTTTTGTTACTTACAACCAGCTTAACGTCATATATTTGTAACTATCATTTTTGCACTGTTACTCAAGATATTTTCGTTCATTTTCATTCCATCACAAAATTTCAAGGTAATTCCAATAAGTTTGCAAGATTTACCTTTGTATCGCTATATTGAAATGGTATCTGAAATAATATCAAATGAGCAGAGGGCTTGGAATCCACAATGGGATTCTGCTATGCGAACTCATCCTGAAGCAAAAAGCCCCGAATACGATATTTTGGTCAATTCCAAGGCATATTTTCTTCACAATGCTTCAGTAAACTTTTTTTTGACCTCAAGCATTTATAAGTATTTTCGCTGTTAATACAAATATCATCAAAAAATAAATAAATAACGAATTTTTAATAAGCGTACATTAGTATCTAGAACATTTTTGAGACAAAAAAATGTGTTTGTCAACCAGTTAGAAAGTTTTCAAATCCTTGCTATGCGAACATGTGTTAACATCAGAAGAAATTCAATTTCATCTAAGGTTTTTTCATATTAAGCAATTAATAAAGTGCCACAAGTCAGTATGCACTTTAAAAGTTTAAATTTAGACATTGTTTTTTTAATAAAGTTTCAAAGTAAATATTTTTTGTAAAAGTGAATATTGCGGATAGTGTTTTATTTTGCATAAAGTTGCAAGGCGTTTATTAAAATTCAGTTATTATAGGTAAGTAATCCATTCAACAGCAGATATTTTGCATGGTTAGATGCAGGATATGGGCATGGAAATCGTTCGGTATTTCCTGTATCCTTTCAGTGGCAACCTACTTTTGTACCTGGAAAAGTTTCTGTTATAAAAGTATGGATATTTGTTTCTGAATTAAATAAATTTATAATCACTACAGGTGTAATATGTTACTATAAATCACTCGAACATGCAATTATGACCATAAAAACCTTTACTTTTCATAAGTGAAATGCTATTTCCAGCAGTACATTATATTACAACATAACAATTACAGGCAGATATCATTAAATATTCTACTGGTTGTTATTAGAGATTAAATAAACATTTGGCATTATACTGTGAATAATTCTATATATTAGGCTTCGGCTTAAGAAATAAAAGCCATCGGTAATTCTCATTACCATATATCTCAATATGGGCCTCAGATATACCCATTTTTTGTTTCAGTCTGCAAACACTATATTATGATATATATTTTGCAAAACTTTATCGCGTATTAATATCATATAAATATATACTTAATATACTGATGGCGTTTAAATAGCGTATTATCTCATAATATCCTTCTAAACAATCTTATGCAACTTTAACATAGTGCAATGCCATGTTATGTTTGTAAATCTTTGAAATTACTGAAAAATTAAATTTACTAGCAAAGTCTATTTCACGTAACTCAGATCACAGTAATCACCAGGTAACTTCACAACACGATAATTTATTTTCCTACAAACTAGCCGATTTATATCGCAAAAATTGGGCAGTAATTAGCGGTGGATTTCTTGGAAGCGATATTTATACGATCAATCGGTTTTACATGTTGCATCATCACTTGGTAGTGGATTTTATTTACCGTGGATTGATTGACGACGACCAGGTTGATTACCATATGGGGAATAAATATCTGTAATCAGAATAGAATGCAAATGCAATTAAGTTGTGATAATTGATTCTCCATGTTCAGGTTCCCAAAAAATTGATATTTTTTAATAATGATTTTAGTTGTAAAATTTAATTGCAAATTGCTCAGTGATATGTGTTATTACACGTGTAAATATTTCAGACAAGTCTTGTATTGCTGATTCAACAGCATCCGTCGTTGTTTCACATTGTTCACGGTGACTGGTTTGATGCATTCCGATTATTTCCTTAATTAATGCTCAATTTAATTTCAGTTTCGTTTCATTTAAAAAATTTTCACGTAAACTGATTCAGTTATTTCTTTCACAGCAAATCCAATACTGTTTTCTCGAATTCCATGAAGTTATATTAAGCTTCAATGTTTGCAACTGACTTTCTCATAAAGCAGAAAAAATCTTGTATATTCAGATTCCAATGAAAAATTGAACAGAGTAATACTTTGCTTATGTTTTCACTTTTGCAAAGCAGTTTGATTACGAAAATATCACATTTCGGGAGTTCTCGGTGAATTCATTCAATACCGATTCAGCATCCGAAATCACTGAATTCAATGCTTTTTTTAAGGTGATTTTAGCCGTGAAACCCAAAGCTTAGCTCCTAAAATTCATTTTTATTCTTCAAAATTATAACTTCTTCTCCGATCTTATTTTCTCAATTTAAAATTCTGATTTTCAAACTTATTATTCATTGCTACTACTAATGCTTTAATGCAAGAAAAACTTGTATCTAGTAGGAATCCTGCTAAGAATCCGAATTTTTTCGAGTGTCATATTAAAATTCTATGAATTTTACTTACGAAAGCTGAATTATGCTAAGAGTCAAATCTTCTTTCATAAATTTTAACTCATAATTTAAGACAAGATAGATCAATGTCAAGCCAGAAGTGACAGAATCAAACATCTCTTCCTACAAAAAGTCTTGAAAAACTCAGATTTTACCTAACATCTTAATTCAATTTTAGTTATTATCTACTAATATACTTTGTGTGATTGTTGATAAATCACTTTCTTAACTTC